AACCCAGGAGTCCTGGCGCCCAGCCCCCTGCTCTCACCAGTACACCACATTGAATGCCCCAGGAAAACCATCACATTTCCCACCTTCACAATACAAAAGCCCTTCTGGGGCTGAGGGCCCCATCTGGGACCCCCCCCTCTCCCCAGATGGCCCCGAGGCAGCAGCCTGAACAGGGGTCCCCTCCCCCGGCACCACCACGGTGACATCACTCACCTGTAGATCAGGTAGCTGCTCCGTACCTTGATCCCCCCCTTGATGAAATTCACCATGTTCTCGTCCTGCAGGGAGAAGGGGGGAAATGAACAAACCCCCAGGGAAGGGCCCCTCGCCCAGCGCTGAGATGCAGCCACCTCTGGGGTGGGGCGCAGGGAGCCACATAGCAACTTTGTCTAACACGGAGACAGGAAACAAAGGCGAATCCTAGGAAGTGCCCTGGGGAGTGACCTGCAGCGCCCCCGAGTGGCACACTGGGGCCAGCACTGACTGCGAGGGGAGAGCGCCCCCTGCTGAGCCCCCACCCCGCTCCCCGCAGCACCTGGGATTTAGCTCGGAACCCAGGAGTCCTGGCCCCCTGGCCCCGTGCCAGCCGCATGGAGGGGGATCCGGTACCTGCAGGAAGGTCAGGGCCGCCCGCTGCAGTAGACACTCCGCGTAGCAGACCTCGGCGTGCAGCTCCACTGTGAGGGAGAGCGACAGGGATTGGGGGCGGGACCTGCTCATCCCCAAGCCCCGCCCCCTTCCAGCAACACCGCAGCCCCCTCCCCGGAGTTGAACCACCTCTCCCCCCACCAACTGGGGATAGAACCCAGGAGTCCTGGCTCCCAGCCCCCTGCCCTAACCACCTAGACCCCACTCCCCTCCCCAGAGTCAGGGGTAGAACCCAGGCGTCCTGGCTCCCAGCCCCCTGCTCTGACCACTAGACCCCACTCCCCTCCCCAGAGCCAGGGGTAGAACCCAGGAATCCTGGCTCCCGGCCCGCTGCTCTCACCCCCCACCCCTGACGCCCTGTGGTCATGCCCTGCGTCTCTTACCCTCGGTGAACGAATCCGCCTTGCTGACCAGGCCGGAGAGGGAGCCAGTCACACTGGATTTCCTCCGAAACCTGGGGGTGGGAGGAAGGTGGCTGGGGTGGGGAAGCTACACCCCCCCTCATCTCCCCCTACAGGCCTCCCCAGCCCCGCCCAACCCACAAGGTCAGTAACTGCCAAGGGGGGAGGGATTTTCCGCAGCGAGGAGGCTGTAACTGGAGGGGCTCCCCCATCTTCGGCCCATGGCCTCCCAGGCCCCAGCTCCCCTGCGGGGTTCGGCTCTGGCTCCCCCGAGCCCTGGGAAACTCCCCCTGTGCTGGGCAGTGGGGCTATGACACATGACGGGTGGGTCCGTTCCACCCAGCAGTGGGACTGATGCAGAGTGGTGCCCCCCTCCCCTCCCACCCCCAGCCCAGAGACCTCCATGGGGCCCGGCCTGGGGGTCCCATTGCCAGGCCAGACTCCCGCCCACGCCCTGTCACTCCCCATCCAACCGCCAGCCCCTGTGCGGCTCACCAGCTCCTGGGGCCCCAGATCCCCCTCCTCCCCGGGCCTTCCCCAGTCCCTGTGACCCCCACCCTGATGCCAGAGTCCCATCCCCCATCTCCCCTTCCCTGGCTGCCCCACCCCCACCTCCCGCATGCCCCCCGCACCCACCTCTGGCAAATCTCCTGCGCCTCCTTCATGGTCTGCCCGGCCTGCACAATGTCCTCGTGCTCGAAGGTCATCATGGCCTGCATCTCCAGGATGGTGGCGTAGACCAGGGCGTGGTACATGCTCTCCTTGGTCCTGCCGGGAGCAGG